CGGGGCTAAAATGGGGCTCGATGACGCACTGGAGCCCTTGAGCTCCTGGACACGCCCCTACTTGATGACGCACTAAAGCCGCTGAGGCTGGCCGCTCCTAACAATATTATAGAGCACATTCACATCAGTTTGCCGCTCATTCGCGAGTTACTGTCAGTACTATTATTAGTAACGGCCTACAGATTGCTAGCTAGCTATGCCTTCGTCACGGAAATGCGTAACGTTACTATCTGGATGCGATCACCGGATCAGTACAAAACAGATTGGTGTCCTTATTTACATTTCCGAAAAACGATTACATCAAGAAGAAGTGGATTAATTTTGTGAAGAGCCACCTTGATGGAGAGCTGAGGATCACCGCCAAAACCCACCTCTGTAAGTGATCATTTTACACGGGATAGTTTTATAAACTTTCATCAGAGACAACTGGGATTCACTGATAATCCGCTGTTACTGGTGAATGGGGCCGAACCGACTATCTCCCGCCTCGGCCTTCATCCTCCAGTCGCGCCGACAACTGGTGCCCACCGTGCGAGCATCCATTTCGGCTGTAGAGTTGAGTGTGGCGACGGCAGCTTTCCCGCGAGTGGGCGTGGCTTCAGCACAGCCAGCGGACACGCCCCCAGCGTTTGAGAGCAGTATTCTGCTCATTTTTTCAAGATTTTGATAGCTTATTTTATGTACTTGCTGGCTTTTTTTATCATTCAAATTTGGCTGGGTGACTAATAACACATTTTCCTGTGGTGTGACAAACTCAGAACACATACTTAATGTTGACTTTACAGGGACTTTAACTGTATGTGATCATGTTGTTTACTTGCTGTGCTTACACGCCGATAGTTAACAACTCACAGACATTTAAGCAGTTTTACTCACCGCCTGCGGTTCCAACGCACGACCGTGAACCTTTATCGTTGGGACTGCTCCATCTTAAAAGTAGTAGGCGATCTGCAAATCCGGCGTTGAACTGGGCCTTGTTTATAAAACTATTACCGTCGAAATAAAGGGAACAAACAAAAACACTTGCACAACTCCGTTGCTGCTCTGGAAAAACAAAATCCATCCACTGGTCCCTTAACGCTGGGTTCTTTGGAAATTTGTGCAGTGTTGTCTTGCCCTTTTTTTAATTGCAGCGCAGCCGACCGAGCCCAGCGCTCTGATGGGCATAGGCGTACTCTCGCACGCACTAGGCTACAGATGCGCGCGCGCCCTTCCGGGAGAAGTGCCCTTAAGACCCGTATAAGGAAATTCCGGCCACTCTGACGTCACACACGCCCGTATTCGAAAAAAACTTTCCGAAACTTGTGACAACCCGGAAGGAGTATTTTTGGAACAGAATTACTCCATCAAACTTACAACTTCATTTTTGAAACTTTGTCCATGTTTAGCATGGGAATCCAACTCTTTAACAGTGTAAAAAACTCACTATGCATGAAACAGCATTTCACCCCCCCCTTTAAAGATTTCAAATGCCAGCAAAACTTCTTAATGCAGTTAAGTTACTTCAGTTAATTCCTTTTTTTCTCATATGAATTTGAGCTGGTATGAAGCTGATTTAAAATATGATATAATATTATAGCAAACGCATTCAGTGTACTGTATGTAACAAATTAACAAGTCCAAACATGCAATCTACTGTTTGGTGTAGGTAGGTGTGCTTGGTAACACGATTCTTCTATTCGATCATAAAAGCAGGTCTCTGGTTACCAATACAAAACGGTTTCTGTGTGAAATGTGATCCGCGTTGTAACCATTGGCAACAGATTACAACATCTCTAATCCAATTAAAAGCAGAAGCTCCAAGAGAGCGCGGGTTCCTCGACCAATCAAAAGCGGACGGATAATGATTGACGTCTCGTTCATCCACAAACCGTTCGCTGACGCTGGGCTTTGCAGAGTTTAGACGACGCGCGGTGGGAGAGAGTCCACTACATTTGTTTTTTAATAAGAAAGTGCTTTTTCCTTAACGAATCAACATGAGAGAAATTGTTAACCTGCAAGCTGGTCAATGTGGAAACCAAATCGGTGCCAAAGTGAGTAACAGTTAAGGGTATTGATTACGACGTTAGGCCAGTAAAGGCCTGTCGCGAGGGGCATAACTTTAGTCTGTGTGTTGTCTAGTTATCATGTGTAGAACTAATTATAACTGAATATTAATATTTAAGTGCTTTTCTAAAGAAAAATAACATCTGCTAAGATGATGAGTAACTACCGATCTAACGTTATCGTTTAGTTTTTTTTCCTAAACCCTGTGTGTAGTTTTGCAAGTTGCCATGACAACACTTCAAAAGTGGCCGTTAAAAATTAAATAATTTTTGAAGACGTTTAAGGTGATATAATTGTTGATATTGACTCCTTTTCTTCTGTGTGGTCAGTGTCAGAGCTGCCAACTCTCACGCATTGGCCGTGAGACACCCGCATTTGATTGGTTTCACACGCCACACTCCCGATTTCTCACGCTGAAGTGTAAACCCGGCCGGTCAAATGCCTGAAAGATGAGTTTATCTACAGATCTACCTGTTGAGCCACTCGTGATCGACTAGTTATACCGCAAATTCGTTAAAAATCTCCCGCAATCTAGAGCGAGCGTGCCCACGAGACAGGGGCGGATCTACAGGGGGGCAAGGGGGGGCAGGTGCCCCCCCTCTCTAGAGCCTTGCCCCCCCTGCTGCCCCCCTAACTTTGATGATCCAAAAACTGTACTTGTAAAAACAACCTGCCACTATGTCCACAAGCTTCTCAAAACAGTGAACTAAACAATACATTTACCAAAAGTGAACAATTTAATTTTTAATTTTTAATATATTATTAGCCCCTCCCCCCTGCGTCCCTGATTCAAACGTGCAGAGCGGGGTTGGCGGCTCACACACACACACAGCGAGTCTGCTGCGGTGAGGTGGCCCTGCAACCCGACTGGAGAGAGTGAGCTTCCCCAGAGCCTCTGAAGGTGAAGTGAGTTTCCCCAGGTGTAGTTTAAACACACACGTTTAACTTAAAGTTACATTTGTAATGAATGTATTGTATACTAAAGACGATTCAGCATCAGCAAAAACAGCGCGTCTATTACGTTAGCCAAAATCAGCGGTCAATTCGCTCCCTCGTGATTTGTAAGAGCACTCTTCCCTTTGATTAGCCTAATTTTGATTTTAGTAAAGACAAGAACAGCTTAAGGCGAGACACAAAAACATCGGGGGTTTTTTCACTGGTTAATTTGAAGATTTTGGGCTATTTGTCTTCAATAACATGTCTTCTTTCAGACTTGTGGTGAAATTTTTTTTCCAAAAAAACACATTTAGGACTTTATTTTACTACACTTTGTCTATTTGCGTCAGTATTCTCCTAAATTCAACAGAAGTTGTCGTTCTAAATCAACATGTTGCTCCGCGATCGCTGCATGTCAATGTCATCACATACATCTCTGTTGGAAAGCTCTCTCTCCTGTACATTGTTGTCGTATCCAAATATGGTCATTTCCTTTTAATCAGCAACCAATCGTGAAAGTACAATGGGCATTTAACTCTAAAACCGAAATCTCATTGGCTGATGTCAATTTCTGACAACGTGATTCGTTCAGATGCATCACGTGACGTGCTCTGACATTTAGATATGCGTTTTTGACTGTTTTTCTGTTCAGTTGAAGGCCATAAATGCTGTGATTTAGGTGGTTTGTATTGTTGTTGCTAATGATTTGGTAAGATATTGTGTCTGTAAATAGTTGTTTCCACTAAAAAAAGTATGAATTTTTACATTACAAATCTTTAAATGCTGTTTTCTCAAAATTAGTTTTTTGTCATTCTCCAGTACAAACATCTCAGCCGGTGTAGCACCTATGTACACCAAACTTTCCAGTTATACACTTAGCAGTATTCTGAAGATATTTTCAGAGGGATTTGTTAATAAATCATTCCTAAAAACCTTTGTAGTGTGTAAGGGCATGATTAAACAATAACGTTAATCATTTAATAATGATTAAAAGTGTTTTTGTGTTTGTTTTGTTAAAGCAATTCACATATAGGGATTCCCATGTACCGTCTACCCCTGCCACCCTGCCAAGACCTCTTGCCACCCCTTTGCCCCCCCATATAAAATTTTCTAGATCCGCCACTGCCACGAGACAGAGATTGTGCTCCAAACCGCGTATAGCGAGCGAGAGACCTTGCGTGGGCAGAGAGCATTTTAAGTTTTAATTTAAATTATTTGCGATTTTAATATAGTATATATTTGACCACTTGCTTGAGCAACTTATAAGTAATGCATGGAATAATAGCCCTAACTTACGTTGTTTAAATTGTGTATAAACGTGCATACAAAGAATCGCAATGCTGACAACTTTTTTTTTTTTAAATAAAAGTTGCAGCATAACTTCTGGATTTTAAATAAAAATAGTAAGTATGTGTTTGTGGTACAGCCGCGGATCAGTTATTCACTGCAAACGCATCATAATATGTGAAAGCACTATTCGGTTGTTAAGTCTGACGTCACGCGTGACGTTTAGCCTCTTCCGGGTCCAAGCGCTCCGCTCGTCCAGATCATAGGTCCAGATCTAATAACAATGGCGGAACCTGTTAATTTATTTACGATCACGTCCTACTTTAGTGATGCACCCTTGGCGGTCAAAAAGGGTTTAAACTCTTTTAACTCCAACAGAGTGGTTAGTGTAGCTCATCATTCAGGTGGCATAATTAAGGGTAGAGTCCAGGCATCAATGAAAAAGAAGGTTTACGAGGTTGAGGTGAGTTAGCTGTAAGCTAGCTAGCTAGTTGACATAAGGTGATATTCCTTGTTCTGGATGAGGTATTTCAAAAATATATTTTTTATTTTATTTTAAAAACGAAGATTAAAAAGTAAAAATGTGACAGACAGGTTTTATAGGGTTTAGTGAACTTAAGGCTAGTCTGAGGCTAGTCAATTTAGTAGTATGATCTGACAGCCCCGGGCTAGCTACAGAAGTATTGTTATGATAAACAGCGCTGGCAGCAATGTGTTTTAGAAGGGTTTAGGGTGAGGGTTAAATTGTTTTCAATACAGGTGCACGTTGAGGGTCAGGCAGTCAGGTACAGCACATGCGAGTGCCCAATCGGCAGAGACAAGTGCCATCATATGGCAGCTTTGTTGATTTGGGCAGAACAAAATGTGTCCCGCACCGACGTGGAATGTGTGTGGAAGAAGGCCAACACTCCGAAGGGGGACGAAATTGCAGCCAAGAGAGTGTCTGAGATGACACCATCCACAACACGAGGTTTGTCATAAGTTTGTTGATGTTGCAGGGTTTTAATTATTTTCTTAACTACGTAATGTGGTTTAAAGCTATTGCTAATAATATTAATCGCATTTATGAAACTCTTCTAACATAAACTCACGGTGTGTTGTAGTTTTTTTTAATGCTTAGATTGTGTGCTATAAATAAATGATGATCATAATAAAAGGCTATTATATTGAGATAAATATCATTATTCATTTCATCATTATAACCAGTTTTATACCATTATTTCAGCTGGCATCAAAAGACCTGTCACCCAGGAGGACAAAGAATGGGTTCAGGCATCCCTGGTGCAACTTGGGCGTTTTACAGGGATGGGGTGGATTTTGAGTCCAGAGACGCCTCAGGTAAGATTTTTTACTTTGGTACTTTCATGTTCCCTTAAAATTAGCAGAAACATCACAACTACACTACATTAAATTGATGACAATTTGGTTAGGGTTTTGTCATCCAACACAATAATTTTGTACAATGTTATATGTTTAAAAAATTCTTGAAATTTGAACCAAATCAAACTGTAATATAGTTAATAAGTAACATTACATAGTTTAGGCTCATGAAAAATTTGGTAAACTACACATATGTATGTATGTATGTATGTAAACTATTGCTTTCATTTCAAATGTATTTTGTATACACTATGTGTATGTATGTGTATGTACAAGTATGTGGACACCTCACTGACTTTACAACTTTTGCCTAACTTTAAATCTAGACTCTCCCAATCAAGATGTTTGATGGGCTGGTGACCAGCCCAGGTTTTGTCCAAGCTGAGGACAAGGCTCTATATGTGCTGTCAAGGCTTGCTGTTAATGATCAGGAGAAGCAGCAGATTGAGGAAGCAACAGTTGGCCAGGCTAAGAATGCATTATGGTAAGAAAGCTTATTAATTAATACACCCCTGCTCTAAGAGAATGTTAGTTGCTTTCGATAAATTTACTTATTGTAAGCTGATATGGATAAAAGTGTCTGCTAAAGGCTGTAAATTTGCTCAGAATTTAGAAAGTGCGCTGCAGAATATCAGATTGTTTTTACATGAAACTGTAATGCCAATTGTTGAGCAAAATTGATCTTTCTCGTGGTTGGTTTCTTTTAACAGGTTTGCATATCGCAAGAAAAGGATAACAGCAAGTAACTTTGGTTTGGTCTTGGCAGCAGTCAAGCGGAAGTCTTACCCGCCTTCCTTATTCAAAACCCTGCTTGGCCAGTACAACCTCAAAGAAGGAAGTAAGTTGTAGTTAATAAGTGAATATTTAAAATGAAGGCATCTGTGTCTAAGAATACACTTATTAAGACTAAGTGGTATTTGTCCCCTCCCGCCAAGGCATGTGATTGGGGAATCCTGCATGAGCCAAGGGCAAAGCAGGAATACACTGAGCGCACTGGTGTTGTTATACAAGAGAGGGGACTGTTCCTGTCTGATAGCGGCCTGCTTGGTGGATCTCCGGATGGGACGGTGTTTGGAAACTGCATGATTGAAGTCAAGTGTCCGTGGTCAGCCAGAACCAAGACTATCCTGCAGGCAGCGGAGAGTAGGGACTTTTTCATGGAGTTTGATGAAGTGATTGGTTCCCTGACGCTAAAACAAACTCACAAATACTGGCATCAGATCCAAGGAAACCTGCACCTGACTGGAGCTAACAGCTGTCACCTGCTTGTGTGGACTCCTCTTGACCTTGTCCTTCTACCAGTGCTCAAAGACCCTACATGGGCTGTGAACATTGACATTCTGGAAATATTTTATAAAGATTGTTTCCTACCATACATTCTCTCACAGTTGTAAGTGCTGTAAAATTTGCAAATAAATGAAAATGTGACATTTCACACAAGCCAGGTAATTTATTTATTATACATATTTATTATTAATTATTATTTAACATCTATATTATGTCACAAATATTACATATTTATTAGTATAGTTTTTAGGCCCTTCATGCTACAGAACTTATAAAGGTAACACTTTATTTCACAGTGTGTTACATTTGTTGCATGTACTTACATAGTAATATCAGTAAATGATGCATAATTACATGCAACTAACCCTCAACCAAACCCTAATCCTACCCTAACCCTATAGTAAGTACATGTAGTTAATTAATATTACTCAGTTCTTAAATATATAATTACACTGTTACAATGACACCTTAAAATAAAAAATATATATAATTAAAATAAAACTATAAATACAGTTATTTATATACAGACATGAATTACACCCAGAAATTTATGTATATACAATAGTTAACTCATCCAATTTCACGGAAAATGGGTGTTTGTAAATTTGTAAGACACACACACACTTTAAGTATCTTGTTTATATTTTGTTTGAACTGGTATGGAATGTGGTCCAAAATGTGAAACAATTTCAGTCGCTGAATTGAACGCTCCACATGTATCCTAGCTTTTGAAATGAATCTGTTATTGTTCACTTCCTCCTGCGTAAATTGTCCATTGACGAGGAAAGACGGGATGTTCAGGGAAACTCCTTCTGGCAAAATGTCCCGAATTGTGAAGCCCTTGTCTGCCATAACCATATCGCCAGGATGTAAATGTTGGAGAAGTCCACAGTCAGCTGTTATTGCCTTGTCTGAGGCACTCCCACCGTACAGGTCACTGGCAAATGTAATAATTCCATTAGGCGCCACACCGATTAAAGCCTTAAGTGTGGTTCGTCCTTTGTACTGGCTGTACAAATGGCACTGTGCATCAAGCCTCTCTGTGTTGGAGACGGCAACCTCTGTGCAGTCGAGCACGATCCTACAGTTAGGGAAGGGCTGGAAGCAGTCTGGCAGCGATGTTTGATTCTTGCTTGTGGAGGGGATGTTGTTCTCAAGCAAACCGACATACAAAATCTCATACAGGGCACTAATGATGGTGGTGAAGATGTTGGTTACTGTGGCTGTGCTACAATTAAATCTTGTTGCAAGGTCTATGTGGCCGCAATTTAGTCTAAGCTTCATTAAGGTCAGGAGCAATTGATCAACTAAGGGCATAATTTGGACAATCCAATCAGAATGATATTTTAACTCAAATTTAGAAAGAAGCGCTTCCAAAAACAGGACTGTGGCAACATCAGGCAATCCAGTAAAATATTGAACTCTGTCAGGACTATTAGAAATTTGACTGAAGGAAAAAATTTGCTTCTGGTTCTCCAATTGTTTTTTCAATTTTTCATTCTCTTCTCTCAGCATCTCATTCTCCACCTCAAGTGCCACAAGACTTTTTGAAGTACATGCAGGGGTCTCTACCATGTCAGCATCCGTTCCCTCATCCTCACCATTGCTAGGGACCAGTTGTTTCTTTCGTTTAGGGAGATGGCTGAGGTGCTCTGGGAATTGGAAAGTCTTCCCCTCATTCCAAGCAAATCTTGATGGCCCAGCAGCTTTTCCATTGGGGAAATGCCAACTGCACACCCTAGAGTTGCAGTTTGGGATGAAGTTTTCACGTCTGTAAAAAAAAGAATTTTTTAAATTTTACTTTTTATTATTTTTAGAATCAAATTACATTCATTCACCAAAGGGATTTTTTTTATTATTCAAACATTTGTACCATGTTCCTATTGACCAGAAAGACTTATTTCAGGTGAAATTCTGACAATACCTCGCAGCTCGCTTACTGTACATACAACAATCAAGTAGGTTTATGAAACAATTACTGTAATTCACCTAAAGTACTTTTTCATGTTCCAAAGGTTGTAGTATTTTCCTAGTGACCTGTCTGACTTACTACATGTGACATTTTGATAATACCTAATAATACTGTCTTACATAATAATATACTACTTTAATTCACTAAAAGGGGGTTTGTTTGTTTCAGGTTGTAGTACATTAATAGAGTGTGCATTAATAGAGGTGCAGCACGCACATCCAAAACAATAAAGCTGGGTGCTGGGCAGACAGGTAGTTGCAAAAAATAAACAATGAGTCCGCACACCAGAAAATGCTCCTAAGTGAATTTAATAGTTGCTCACCACGTGTAACGTTTCGGGCCCAAGCCCTTCATCAGACAGCTTGGGCCCGAAACGTTACAAGTGGTGAGCAACTATTAAATTCACTTAGGAGCATTTTCTGGTGTGCGGACTCATTGTTTATTTTTTGTAGTACATTAATAGACATGAGTCTGATCTTATATCTCAGACAAATGAGAAACGTTAGCAGATTATCATACTATAACTGGTCTAATGTTTTTCCTTGCTATGTACACACATCTTCATGCTCGACTTGTCTATAGACTGTTGCCAAAGCTAACGTTAGCAAGTTAGCCTTAGCTAGCTAACTTAGTTTCATCTTAACTAGGCGGCAGAACAAGGCCTGACAACCGAAACATGATGCAAGATTTGGGTTTATAGCAACAAACAACATATAAAACCCATAGACTACATAAGCCCTTTTCTTAAAGTCGTCAGTGGGTGTTAGGGATTAAGGGATAGCACCTAGCAGCTATATAAATAGTCTCTGATAGCACCCACTGGCGCCAAAGTTTCTTCATTCGTTTAAGATTTGTAACTTACCTTATCAACTGCAGCCATTTTCTCTTATCTTTCTCGTCACATGGAAAGCGGTAGAATGACAGTTGAATGTCACTTGTTTTTTTTAACTCCGATCTATTTAAACAACACGGGACACAGCACTGCGGCATGTTAAAACTCGGGCGAAAGCGGTGAGTAGGTAGAGAGGACCCGGCATTTGGACCCGGAAACAGTATTATCGGAGAGCGGTTACGTCACGACTTAACAACCGGATGGAGAATGAGAAGGTGACGTCACGCGTATCACTCCGCGTTGCATTGTGGGAAGGATTCGCCATCTTGGTAGGATACGCTATCCGTTGTCATGGTTACTTCGACCGTGAGACCGAGAGAAATAGCGACAGAGAGAGAGAGCAGCTTGAAATTTGTTTGCATTTTTGCGATAAGACACAGTTTCTTGGGAATAAATGGAGAAGGGGGAAGCAAAAGGAAAGGGGCTCAATCGGGAGAGACTAAATAACAACACCAAGCAGCGTTATTTAGAGAAACTACTTGACATCAACATGGACCCGTACGACCTGCCAGCCTAACCGTCTGATGCCGGAAGTGGGCGTGGCCAGGCATTGCGCTACTTCTGTGTTTTAGAACGTTTCAAAGTTTAAAACAATGCTATTATGAATATATTTTTTTAACGATTTCATTAAAAATGTATATTTAAGAGATAGGCCTATATATATATATATAAAATATTATAAAATATAATATTTATAAAATTATAAAGTATAATAACTATGTTTTGTCCTATTAACAAAAGACTGGCAATGTAGCCTATTAACAAATGTTAATAGTGTTTTTTAAGTTAAAATGATACTTTATGCATCTGTTTTGTGTCAAATGATTAACAATATAAATTGAACAAAGCTTAAAACAAACAAAATAATAAAACGAAAACAAAGCTTGAGCATTTGAACATTTGATTTAATTGAAAAGCATTTTTTAAATAAAATGTGTTTTTCCCCCTCTGAAATAGCAAAAGCATCACACACTAGCTGTACCTGCTCCAAATAAATAATAGTAATTAAATCAAAATATAAAATCAAAATAAATAAATTATATAAAACAAAATCAAACCAAAGAAAATAAATCTTATTAAAGTTATGCAGGCACACATTTAACAATACTTCTCAAGTGACAAATAAACTAAATAGATCAAAACTCCATACGCATGGAGTTAATCCTGATGATTCCTGAGGCGCCTTTCGTCATGACACTCGCTTTTATTTTCTTTGGTTTGATTTTGTTTTTTTATAATTTATTTTATTTAGTTCGATTTTTTAATTTTATTTAATTACTATTATTTATTTAGAGCAGGTACATCTGTGTGTGATGCTTTTGCCATTTCAGAGGAAAAAAATAATTGTATTTAATTAATAATTTTTGTTTCAATCCACCATAGAATTATGTTGTTTGGTCTTTGAAAAAAAAATTGTTAGTTGTGAAATGGTTGAGTATTAACAAAATAGTTTTTTAAAAGTTAAAATTATACTTTATCCATTTGTTGTGTCAAATGAACAATATAAATTGAATAAAGCTTTAAACAAAATTAATAATAAAATTAAAACAAAGCTTGAACATTTGATTGAATTGAAAAGCATTTTTAATAGTAGTATATTGTCTTTTGTTAATAGGACAAATAATTATTATATTTTATAATATTTGATATATATATATATATATATATATATATATATATAATATATATATATATATATATATATATATATATATATATATATATATATATATATATATATATACATACAGGTGAAACTCGAAAAATTCGAATATCATGCAAAAGTTATCATTTTGATGATTATGGCTTACAGATTATGAAAACCCCAAATTTAAAATCTCAGAAAATTAGAATATTACATGAAATCAATACAAAAAAGGATTTTAAATACAGAAATGTCGGCCCTCTGAAAAGTATAATCATGCTAGTATATAGTTATAGTATATAGTTATATATACTAAATATATTAGTTTCACCTTTTAATTTGAATTACTGAATTACATGAACTTTTGCACAATATTCTAATGTTTCGAGTTTCACCTGTATATATACACACAACTATATATATATATATATATATATATATAGTTGTGTGTATATATATATACACACAAGATGTATATATATATACACACAAGATGTGTAGGATGTGTGTATATATATATACACATAAGATGTATACATAAGATGTGTGTATATATATATATATATACACACATCTTAAACATATCTTTAATTAAATC